TCTTCTCTCTCTCTGCCTACGGTTTACCGGGCAGTTCTGTTTGTGACGATATATATATACATATATATATATATATATATATATATATATATATCGAAACGCGACCGGCCTGTCTGCTTTGGATAAGGAAATTTACTGCAGCCTCGTCCTTTCTTCTAGCCTGTTGCCGTCGTTGGACGAATAAGGGCCTCGCCACACCAATGTCGAAACATCACGAAATTCGACATATATCAGGAGATTTTCGACATTCCCTCTTTCGACAGAAAACCCCTCTTCGCCACACATGTAGAAGTGAAGAACTCACAAGTCCTGTTCACAAAAGAGACAAACTGGGGTGAATATAGGACAACCGTTGGTGCCTTCTCTTTTTCGACATTCGGGCAAGAATTCGACATCCCATCCGAGGACTGTTGAGAATCTCCAAGTTGCAGGCTGGGAAGAGAGCCCTTCTCGACAGGAGGTGTCGAAACCCTTTGCCTGACAGCTCCTGAATTTTTTTTCCATCTCGGATTTCGACATGCTGTGTGGCGAGGAGAAAATGTCGAAAATTCAGTTTTCAACATTGGTGTGGCGAGGCCCTAGCCCACACAGAAAAGAAAGGCGAAAAGAACAAAAGAATAGCAGGCGCATTCCATCCATCCCCCGCCCCGCCCCGCCCCGCCACGCCCCCCCAAAAAGAAAACAAAGGCAAAAAGAATAACAGGTGGTTTCGAATCCAACCCCCGCAGTGTTTTCGCGGTGATATGGGAAGTAAGGAACAAGTGCGCCTTTGAGGGAAGGTTCCTGTCAGACCTGACCATTAAAACGGCAGTGAAGGCTCAGATCAGACTGGTGATCTTGGGTGACTGAAGAAGGAAGGTCACAAGGTCCCAGAATAGGAGGGGAGGTCTGACTTGGTTCCCGGGCACCTGGGCCCTAAGTGGACGACTGGCCAAAGTTGTTAACAACAAGGTGGTGTTGGATAGCTGGTTAGTAGATGACAGCTAAATACCTGAGCACTCGGTTATACCTTCGCAGGAGAAGGGCAGAAGGTGGTAGGCGGGGTTGGAGGGAGTGCTATTCTGTTACCCGGGAACGACTTAAGTTCCAACCTCCCGATGATAGGGAGGTTTGTTTCCAATTAGCCTTGAGTTGCATCAGCTGAGGGTGAACCCTCGTAAGCGCTAGTAACCCCACTTGGTCTTATGATGGTCTTTCTTGCAGTTCAGTGGGGGTTGGTCCCCAAGTATGTGGTTCTATGAGGCGAAGCTGGGTAACGCTCCCAGATTTGGTTGGCTCGATCCGGGTAGACTGTGAGGACCCCAGCCTCAGAATGATTTATAAGGGACGTTGGGCACGATTCCCAACTCGTGTAGCTCCCCACGAATAGAAAGGAGCATGGGTTTGTTAAGAAAAAAAAAAAAAGAAAAAAAAAAAAAAAAAAAAAAAAAAAAAAAACCCCCCCCCCGCCCCGCCTTCCCCTTCCTCCCCCCCCCCTCCTCCTTCAATGTATTTGCGGCTAAAAAACCCCGATTCATACTGTTGTCACATTGGCCGCGCTGTAACCCACATGTATATTCTGTTTCCTTAGGTCACTTCAGTTTTAAAGGAGGTCGAAGCACACGCAGTGGTCAAGCTCATTGCCTTTTTGCTGGAGTGCTTCCGGTATGAAACGGTTATTTGTTCGTTCGGGGATGCTTGGCGAATTTGCAATCCACGAAGAGGCGCGTATGGCTCCGCCGCGAGGCGCTCGAGGCATGATGAAAAAAACCTCCCGTTGCAATGATGTGGACTTGTCCTTCCCGAGTACGAAGGAGCAAATGCTCGAGTTGGCCAAGCTAATGGACGCGGCGGACGAGTGCGGGGCAGGCGCGCTCAACGAGAAAGGCTGCCAGCGAAAAGATTCCGTGTTCGCGGGGAAGCTACTGGAACGTCTCCGACAGTTGTCCATGCCGACCCGCGTTCCCGCCTTGTGGTGGATGATGGACCTTATGCAGCCCGGGGGATGCACGCAAGATCTTGAAACTGCTAGAGAATTTGAACGAGAAGAAGGTTTGCGGGTGATGCTGCGAGCTCTCAAACTGGTTCAAGAGAGGGGAGAAGAGGCCCAGCTCATTGCGTCTACACTGGCGAAATTTATTCCATATCTCCCTCACTTCTCTCGGGGAGAGCTAGATCCAACCATCGTCCCTTTCGTCGACACCTTTGAGTGCCTGATAGTCAAAATGTACAAACTGATCAAGCCGGCTTGCGACGGGGAGGACGAAACGTCTGCCATCCACAAGCCGCCTGACCTCGGAGAAGGTCCAGGCTGGATCTCCGACGTTCCTGTGGATTGCGGCCTCCGTCTGAAAGAAGCAGGCGCTTGTTCAATCTCTTCCTTCGCGTACGCGGCCAGGTGCATTGTTGAACAGTATGGGGAGGTTCGCGGTACTCAGGAAGATTTGCCTCGGGGTGTAATTGGAAGACCCTACATTTGGATGCTCAAAGTCCTAAACGAGGCAGAGAACATCCTTGTCCTTCTCGACTGTGCATTGGAAATTTTGCGGTCGACGCCAAACGCTCTGGACTTGTGGCAAGACATGGTGAGGCAAAATATTGTTGCTGCCTGTATATCAACTCTTTCCTCTGTCTGGTCGTGCAAGAGGTATTGGCAACGCTTCGATAAGAGGTTACCTCTCTCCGGTTCTCCCTCGCCCATGGCATCTATTAAACAACTTGATGTGTCAGATGTCATTGAGGAGAAACTGAAGGCAGTGGTTCATCTTCTCCGAAAGCTGGATGAAGTTCCACCGCTTGTGGCTTGCTCGATGCTGCACCTGGCGAAGATTTTCTTGTCTCAGAAAATCCCGGACATGGACGAGGACATTGCCGAGATCCTGTTGCAGTGTTTGTGCTACTGGAGGCATGCTCTCGGGCAGCAGGAGCTTCAATGGTTTGCCTGTGAGGTTATAGAGACGTTGCGCGATCTGTTTGCAACCACAAAGCATCGTACAGGGGTCCGAGGACGTATATGCAATTCCCCAGGGGGTGTTCAATGCCTGAGGTTGATGCTGTGCGGAGCGGTGAGCCCCACTCGTTCGGTAGGATTCCGTTCCTCGGGGGGCGATGAGGAGCACGAACGTGATCATGAAGGGAACCCCAGCTTCGAGCAACATCTTTCGCAGATGCTAAGCGCTCTTAGCGGCGGCCAGGAGAAAGCTTGGTGCGCCAATGAAGCGGTGGAATGCGACCGTTGTGCCGTGTCGGCTGCTGGACTTCTCGCGGACTTGTACTGGGAAGCAGAGGGGGCAAAAAGTGCTTTCGTCCTTCCGTCAATCGACAGAGAGCTCTTCTTGGACAATCTACACAAGAGCTTGACACGGATGCTCGTCCGCGTGGAAACTGATATTGCTTCACCAGGCCTTGGGTCATCCAGCATATCATCTTGGATTCGTCCCAAAGCAGCTCTCGAATATCTGACGAGCCGTCTGGTCGGCAAGATGCCAACGAGGAGGAGCGGGCCAGAGTCTCGACTGTCTCGCACATGGCAATTCAGGAAATATCAACCAAGGGTAAATGCTCTTCTGGGGGTAATCCACACAACACGTATCCTGGAAGGCGTGATGAAATCTGGTGTCGATGTGTCCGTTCTTGACCCGAAACGATACGTCAGGACCGTTCTTATACCTCGACTCGACAAGCTCGTGCATTACAATCCTCTCAGAATCGCCGAGCTTAATCTTCCGGAGCTCCAAAAACAATGGGAAAAGCACGTACACTCATTTCTCGCTTTCAAGCAACACCTGCAGTGGATGGATTGCAATCAGTTGGATTCCTTAAATCTCCGGGCACCATATGAAGTGACCGATGGTCACGTGATTCTGTTCGACCTTCTCAGGTCAGTCCAGTGGTTGGACAAACTGCCAAGGTTGGTCCAGAGGTTGCTCGAAGCTGATTTACCCAACCACAGCAACTTCGACCGAGCGTGGTGGGCAATCGCTGTGGCAGGGGCAATCTGGGGAGTGATCGTGATCAGCATTGGACAAGAAGGGAAAGAAGACTGATGCCGACATGGGGCATGGAACAAGCCAGCTTAGTTATGCTTTCTTGCGTTCGTTTTGCTTCCTCTTTTTTTTCTTGGCTGCTTGGAATCGACCAATAGTAAACAACAGGAAGCACCATAGGTGTCGCTGTGACACCGTAAGTTGGTAGCCATGTCGAAACAATACAAGTAACGAGGCCACACAAACGTAGTACAACTTCCACGATGGTTACTTCGTGGAAGAAAAGTGTCTATGTGACACCCATTTGTTCTACACCCACGAACGTCCGATTATTCAAGCTCAGACCTGCAGTTCGAACTGCAGTTGAATCAAATGATTGAAATCACCCCGAACCAGCGGACTTTTGCAGGTCAACAATTCCTGCGGAGCCGGTGGCCGCAGGCTATTTTGGCTGGTAACGTCATCATTTCCGTCCCCAAGACCCAACTCACAGTTTTGCAGCGGGGTTATCCGGGGCGTTGGAATGAAATAGCTGATAAACGGACTAAGTCTGGTGGCCTAAAGAGCAAAGTCTAAAACAGTTCCGAACCCCTTACAGTTATTGGCTGCCGTACCGGAGGCTAAATCTTTGGAGTTTCAGCTACTTACCAGGAGGCTGACGCCTCTGCCGAACAGGGGGTCTCCACTCTAACTGTAGAGCGCCGCTCTACCTCCAGTTGAACGGGGTAGAGCGGCCTCCGCCGAGTGCGGCTGCAGCCAGCGCGGGGAGCTCCACCCGGTTTCGGGCACTGGGGGGTGCACCTACCAGCTGGCAGTTGGGTTTCAGCAAGAGAGGGAGCTCGCGCGCGCGCGCGCGCGAGAGAGAGAGAGAGAAGAGAAAAGTGAGAAAAAGATGGGGGGGGGGTCGGGAGTCTCTTGGGCGGGGGGGGGGGCTTGAGGGGGAGGTATCAGAGTTTTTTCTCTTTTTTTCGTTCTTGCGCGCCAGACCCAGGGCGTGCGGCATCCGCAGCCCGCCGCCCTTGCGTTTTTCGAAAAACGGCGGGAAGGCCGCTTTTCTTCGCTTGACGGGTTTACAACGGGGCGTAGGGGAGGTAGGGGGGTAGAGGGACGTTCGACGCGTCGAACTGCGCTCTTCTAACCTATGATACCCCTCGGTTGGGCACTAACCACTGCCCCACAACTGATACCCGGAGGGTTTTAACTGCCCACTGTGGCCCTTTTTGTCTTTTTCTGTCCCTTGGTAACTCTCTCTGTCCCCTTCAAGCGGAGACTTCTTCTTGCTGGTAATCAGAGACTGTTGCTAGACCGGTTTTACAATCAGAGATTGTTGCTAGACCTGTTTTCCAGCAGTTGGGGATCCCAAGAAATAGACTGGAGTCATCACAATAGGGGGCGCCCATTCCTGGAGGCAGAAAAACAAAAGACCTGGACATTGCCTACTACCTACCACGACAGCGGCAATGTCTAATTACCGACGGTCAAGATCTGAATTTGAGACAAATTGAGCGAATAAAAAACGTAATTAGATATCGCTGCTATCTTTTGCTCAAATTTGCCGGAGGCGGAGGTCGTACACTGAATTACGGTACCATGTACTTGTAGCAGCGGTACCCCGGCTGGTTCCCCCGGTTGCAGTCCGGCCCAGTCCCGGTACGCCCGTCTGTTTCTCCCCTGGTTCATTCGGGATGCGTTCTTTGTGCCTTGGTAAGGCTTGGTTCGTTTAGAGAGACTCATTGATTCTGCCAGATTTATTCTGTTCACACTCAGTTGCTGCTCTTCTGTGAGTCCGACATACTCCTTTGGCCGCACGTGCATTCCAGTACTTGTGCTGTCAAGGGTGTTCTGTCAAATCACCACCCACAGCCACGGTGAACTTGGATGAAACCTCGCCAACTGTATACTAGACACCGCTATGGCTGGCAGACTCAATGGTTATTTTTCGGATGCATTTCAAAGGTGTTCCAACTGTCCACTAGACACCGCTATGGCTCGCGGACTAGACACCGCTGTGCTCTCAAGGGTGTTACAACTGTACACTAGACACCGCTATGGCTGGCAGATGCTATGGTTATTTTTCGGATGCATTTCAAAATTCTTTCCAGAAGCCTCAGAAGGTTTTTGAGTTGCGCATACCCTGGCGCCAGGATTGGGATCTGTATTACGGAAGGAAGAGGTCGGGCTAATATGAGGATGCGCCAAGTCGGTTTTTGGCTGACGTCTGGACTCTGGATTGATGCCCAAAAATGGTGCAGTGGGAAAGTGGATTTCTCTTTGCCGGTTCTTCGGCATCTCGCAGCACCACTGACGGCTGGCCCAAAGACAGAGCGTGTAGTTGGTGTTTATGGTAAGCTTCTCGGTTCGTACGGTGGAGTCCTCTTGGAAGTGTATAAAATCCGTAAAAGCCAAGAAGAAGAAGAAGAAGAAGAAGAAGAAGAAGGAGGAGGAATTTTGGGTGAGATGGTCGGCTAACCGAGACTCGTTATGAAGTCAGAGTCACGTTGTGTAGCCCAATCGCACACGCCTGTGCGTTTAATTGGAGAATCCAGTCACAGAACTTCACGCCCGATTCACATTCACATTTCCGTAGACCGCCTAGACTAAAGGATACAAATAATTTGAAATAAATAATAGAAATAACGGCGGAAGCGGCATGTTCTGAAACCCTAAAGGCAAAAATAACTCGTGCCGGCAAAGAAACCACGCGCTCGCTCGAAATGAGCGATTTCGGTCCAGAAGTATCCGCTGGGGACGGTTGGGCATTTTCTTTTTTGTTTTTGTTTTCCCCTCTGACACCACGGCCGACCCCTGTAAATAAATATGACACCCCCCGGTCTGACACCACGGCCGTCCGTACTTCCGTCACCTTTCCGAACTCGGCGCGGTGTATTCTTTGCCAACGAGTGTTTTTTTTTTTGGCCCATTCGATACTCAAAAGTGACATCAACGTACTTACCTCCTCCCTCTCCTCACAATGCAACACCTAGCTCCCAGACATTCTTCTTCCTCCATAGCATCACAGTGATCACACACATCTCCTCACTTTCCAATCTTCCTCAAACGTCTTACCAAGTACTGGCAAGCAGCCGGTACTCGACAGATTCATGAAAAGGCAAGTCACTCAAGTATCACACGATTGCACGACTCAAAATAACATTTACATCATAGATTCACTCAATTGCTCGGGAACATCAAATTCAACGTATTACGTAATTATGCTCGAATTAGAACTTTCAGTGCAGCGCAAGTACAGCTCAAAACAGCACTTCAAGTACTCAGAGTGTACTTCCTGAGAACATCCTCTAGCTCAAGGGCTAACCTTTTGGACAATTTGACTACCCGTCTTCGCCCGAATAGAACGCCCGGTAGTAATTGCCGTATCGGGACTGAAAGTTGCACCAAATACAGCTATAATGACCAATTGTTCTATTCCGGTGAAGACGGTAGTAATACTACTACGTATAAACTGCTATGAAGCTACTACAACTGAGGATGGAGCCACTGTGGGTCTCCACCCGGTTTTATCTAAGCAGAGGTATATTACAGGCTGGTACCACTCTGGGTTCCGTCCAAGAGGAAACTTTAAGATGGGTTGCCCCATGAAGAGTCGACCCTTAGACTTCATTTTTGGCTTCCGATCTAGGGAGTATGTTCTCTGCTCTTTTTTTTTGACACTTTGGAGCGTCATCCAAGGCTAGCGCCATGGCAGGGAGGTGGACTTGGTGGTGCCTAAGAAAGCGTTAACTTGGTATTAGCACAGTAGGGATTTTTGAAATGACTGTTTCTGTCCTGTACATAGCGTAGACTCTTTACTGAGGCAGGGTGCTGATCCACCCTTGGAAAAAAGCAGGCAATCAATGCAGCCATGCCCGTGAGAGAAAAAAATGTGTCGTCTAGGCTCCCTGAGGAAGGTGCCCAAGAGAACAGGATGCACGGGCTGGCGGCCATGGAGATGGTGGCACCATCGATGTAAGTCCTACTGGAATCAGGCTGGAAAGGTTGTGGTGAACTCTGGAAGTACTCGTTGTTTCCTTAAAAGAAGGTTGGGTCAGGCGTTCCACAAGGATTTTCATCCGTATTTTTTTTAATTATTAATTTATTATTATTTTCGATGGACCACGGATCAGATAATATTAAACTGACAGAACAGATACAGTGCACTTGATCTTACTTAGCCAAAAGGCGGAGAATAGGACTCTGGAGCTCATTTCCAGCAGACTGAGTTTTTTTTCTGGCAAAGCTCGGTAATGGCCTCAGTGATTCTCATGTATTATAAACTTCCATAATAATATGATTAAATGAGCTTCAGGCACTTGGGCCGTCTCTCAATAAATAAATAAATAAATAAATAAATAAATAAGCAAATGAGAATGTGAACATCGCTCAAGAGGGTCAATTCAATAGAGCCAGGCTGTTACTCCAGCTTGACAATAGAAGTTGGCAATCAATGCAACCATGCCAATCCATATATATGTTTGAGCATGGCTCCCCGTCTTTATGTGGAGGGATGCTGATCCAAGTTCCCAGCAGGTGCAACCCACGAATAGACCATTGGAGCGATATGTCATATGTCTTCGGAAGGCCAAAACTCAGGGGAATCTTTCACCAGTGGGTCGTTGGATGTATGTATAGACGAAGGTGGGCCAGCACCAGGTTTTTGGTTTAGGGTTTAGGGATTGTATTATGTTGTTGTTGTTGTTGTTGTTGTTGTTGTTGTTGTTTTTTGGGGGGGGGCCGGGGGGTGGGTGGGTGGGTGGGGCGGCGGTGGGGGGAATTTTTATGTTTTGGCAATTGGAGAGTAAGGACGTATGAAGTCACTGAAGTGTTTGATGCATCAAAGCTGGACTTTTCCCCTCTGTTTCGCAATCTGAACAAGCGGATGGTAGCAAGGCACGCATACCGCCAGAAACAAGGATGGGGTGTTTCCATATCTGCCTGCATTCCCTGTGCTGTGTTATGCTGTTGTTATGCGGGCTGAAGTACCGCTGTACACGACTTGGATCTGTTTTGGCTGGTTTTGAGCTTAAGTGTCAAATCAAAAAAGTTGCAGCAGATCAGATAAGCTCAGATTTCTCATTACTCAAGTATGAATTGTGCAAGGAATATGAGTGTGAACGATATACAGAAAAGTTGAGAAAAAACAAGTTGTGAAATCACACAGATGTCCAAGTAGTCGTGTACAAGCAGAGAGCACAATTGCACAGAGAATCCATCCAAATAGAGCAATACAATGAAGTAATGAGCCAATGTTCAAGCCCTCAGACCACACCAACACAGAATCCAAAGTCTCTCCTCTCTGTCTGGCGCCCAGCGCCCAGCCTACTCTACTCGACTATCCTACCTACAGCTGTGTTCATGCAACAGGCTCACTTCTACTCTCGAAGACCAATGTACATGATGTCAACACCATAGCCGACCCCTCTTCATGCACCAGGTACGTATCTCGTCACCATCATCTCCCACCTTGAGAGCCCACACACTCGCCTCAGAGTCCTTCCTTGAAGACCACCAGACCACCCCCTCTTACCCCCTAGCACCCAGCAGCCCGGCTATGGTTGCCAGCGCACCGCTGCCCTGCAGCGCCCCACTTCACCTCAATGCGCCCTGCCAGCGCTCTGGCTGCAGCACAGCATCCAATGCAGCAGCACAGCAGCGTGACCGCATTGCCTATGCGGTCCAGAATATCTGGCCTGTGCTGCCTTACTTCCTATATGGAAGTGGCAGCCTCTTGGATGTTGCGTGTGGCCTGGCTGGAAGCTTCCAGTAGCTTCCGGTTGGGCCTCATTCCTGCGCCCAGGCCCGAGACTACAGTTGAGGGCCTGGGCCCTTTACAGTTGGGCACGGCCTGAGTCTGCGGACTTGGGCCGTTTGCTGCATTTGTGCAGGACCCCGAGGTAGGTGCGTCGACAGTACTGCTTTTGCATAGGCCGGTGGCCGGGTGCATTGACAGTACTGCTTTTGCATAGGCCGGTGGCCGCTTCATGATGTATCGGCCCTGCTTTGTGTGTATGTGCCCAGGCGCAACTGCCAAGCTTAGTGAGGCTCATGCGTCCACTCAACCAACTGGCGTGCTGCAAGAGCCTGAATACCCACCTCTGAAAGTGTTGAATTTTGGCCTCTGATGAATATTCAGGCCCGCCTTCACTTAGGGCGGGCACTCGGCTTGCAGGGGGCCTCTGCCCAGAACATGTGATGTCTGATAGGGGCCCGTGAGGGCTCGTTTCTCCCAATTGCCCAATCAGCTATTTATACTTATTCTCCTAGTTACCAAATTGACTATTTTATTCTATTAATTTAATTACAATGTTGGTTTTTGGTTATTTAGCAATACAATTACGCTGGAATATAAAGTATTTCGGGACTTGATCCCATGACCTGTATCGTGGTTGTGTGTTTCTTTACATGTGTGAGCCTTAATGGGTTCTATCCCTAGGTCTGAGTGTGAGAGTCTATGGGGCTTAAGGCAACCGTAGCTGAGTGAGGCCCAAAAAAAAAAAAAAAACAAAAAAAAAAACACACCACTCTTTCGTGGTGGGCCCGTTCACAAAAAAAACACCAAGTGAGGCCCAAAAAAAAAAAAAAAAAACAAAAAAAAAACACCACTCTTTCGTGGTGGGCCCGTTCACAAAAAAAACACCAAATGAACGGCGGCCACGTTCAAGTGACCGGTACGGGTCCGGCACTGCATGCATTGGTTCCTCTCCCTGGTTCACAGTGTTATGTGCCTTGCCTGATTAAAATCGAATCCAGCATGGCATGCACACGTTCCCATACACATGTGCGATGACAAGCAGACTTGGAGAGAGAAAACCACACCACACCAGATTAGGAGAACATACAGAAGATCACAAAACAGAGACGCCCAGTGGTTCTATGACTACCCTAGTGTGGGCCTGTAGTACTCCACATGGAAGACATTGGGCCTGTAGTACCAAATAGCCAAGCTTTGGGCAGCCAAAGTCGAACAGGTTTTGGTGTGGGCGCTTTCTACCAATTATCCCAAAAAACAAAGCTTCAACTGTGGGCCAGGGCACTAAGAACGGTCCGAGAGGAGGCAGGGGGAGTGGTTGGAGAGGAGGTGGGCGGAAAGAAGGTGTACGGATGTGAGTCGTGTGAAGGGAGGCGCCATTTCCTGGCACACACCTGCTGATGAACATCACAGCAGAAACAATTGAAAAACAGCGATTTCTTCAAAACGTTCATATTTTATTTTTTGAATGAAATTGAAAGTCCAAACGGAGGGCAAAAATTGATGAAATTTTGGGTAGATACATTCACGTACCCCTGGCCAAAGTACAGATACATTCACGTACCCCTGGATGTATGTGGACTTAGCCAGTCCAGATACAAAGAGAGGGTAGGGCATTTTCAGAATGCCCGACCCAAAATTTCATCATATTTTGCCCTGAGTTTGGATTTTCAATTTCGTTCAAAAAATAAAATATGAACGTTTTGATGAAATTGATGTTGAAAGATGATTTGGGGGAAATGCCCCCGTTTCCAAAAACACACAGACACACATACGTGCATAATGGAAAGATGCTTTGGGGGATGTCCACCCATTTCCACACACACACACACAAAATAAAGATGATGTGGGGGAAAATCCCCCAGTTCCACACGTGGGGGAGGCCTTCCAAAGCGCAATTGGCCTCCTGGATCTTTTTTCTTTTTTTTTTTGCTTTTTTTCGGCATTTTCCCATGTTATCCAGAATTCGGGATAGGCCTATCTTCCAGAGAATTTATCCGGCCGTAATTCCCATGCTGCCTTGCTTTGTAGAATCCTTGTGATAAAACTTCATGGCGGTCACTGTCAAGTCACTTAAGTGTAGCCACATGAAAATCACAAAAGATCGGCAGTTCCACTCAAATCTCTGAAGTGTTATTTGGTCACATAGAAAAACGAAACTCCAGATTTAACCAAATGTCAATTGGTCCAACATTATCAAGCCGAAACAATATGAAGTAAAGTTGCTACGATACATTTGCAAACCAGTATTTCTGCAATTAGGGCAAATTGCAGAGTACAAGTTTGCAAACGTATTGTCGCAACTTTACCGGTTTGCACAGGTATGGTGACAAACAAACACGTTCGCGAGCAGCCAAGCCTCTTTTGAGGTGTATCGAAACAGAAATACTGGTCCATGACGTTTCAGTTGCAAATATACCGGGCGGTACCTGCACAAAAGTGTTCAAAATGACATCATGCAAAGCATATCAGTCATGCAATGGAAAGGAAGGAGAAGAAGTAGGGGAGAAAAGAGAATATGACGAAGTGATAAAAATCCGAGCGCAGGACGCATCGTTACGGAAAAAAGGAAGAAGAAATACAACGATGCATGGCGGCGCGGCCCGACGCCGCGTTTCGACCAGTCGCCAGCTGGTCTTCGTCAGGGGTCAGCTCCTGGCTACAGATGAGAAGTAACAGAACTACAATCCTATAAGTACTCTACGTAGACCGCCTATTCGTATCGTACGTTGCATCCAGTCCAGAAGTCCCTAAGTCCTATTTCGACAGAAAAAAGAGAGAAAAAGAAGTACCACAGTCCCACTGAAGAAAAGACCGGAACTGGAACCTTGGTGGGAAATAGACTGAAGGTCCTAGAAGTGAGTATCGGCCCAACAAACGCCAAATAGGCCTAAAACGGCCTTGTCCGCCCTTACCACTTAGTCAGACATCGCACCCATTTGTCCCACAACATATTGTACCTCTGAGAAAAATGAATAAGAGAAGAATCGAAGTAGTCATCAGGGAAGTTCCTAAGTCTAAGCTCGATCTTCAGGGTTAACTGAAAACAAAACTCTGCACCAGCCATACTAGTCATATATCTGGCTCTGTGAAGGAAGGATGTGATGACAGCCATTTTTTGTTGTCGCGACGAATACGATGAGTAGTCCTGGAGACACTGGAATAGTATACCTTCGTCCAAAACGCAGCACTGATTCTTATCAGTAACGGCACACAAAACCTTGGGAATGTCATGAAAGACCTTGATAACGCAACCCAGGTAGTCCCACACATCGCCCTCACTGGTCTTCTCTAGTGTAAGCCTTTTATCATAGCAGTTACTAAACCGTTCGATCGCTTCTATTGCCTCCCATTTAGCTATCATCGATCGCTTGTCCTACTTAGCAAAGACTGACACGTCATCTATCAATCGAACACCTGTAATTAACTTCCTCTGTACACCTAATGAACCCAGAAAACAGAACTCATTGTGTACACAACGCAGACATGCCCGTGCAGGGCTGGCTGGCTTGCCCATCGGTATACCCACCGTCTGCTTCAGGACTTGGCCCATACACATAGTGAAGGTGTTAGATAAGTCGAACACAACGAAGTTCAGCAACTTGGAAAAACTCACAGATTTCCAGCCTTCAGGAGTTTGCTTACCCGTAGTTAACCTCGCACCTTTGCCTCTGGCCTTCACCAATACCCTATCATAACATTTCATCTCAAACAGCGAAATCAACCATTCGACAGCACCAATGATGAAATTGTGTGGAAGGTTCGAGAACATTTCTTTTACGTCAAAACTGGCAGCAAGAATTTCTTCGAATGGTTCCATAGAAGAATTGAGTTTCGTCAATCGAGGAAGAAGATCACTAGGCGACTTCAGGTTGAAATTACTCTCATGCGGAAGAGACCATAGCAAGCAGTTGATAGCTTTAGATGTAAGTCGACTGAGGCTAGCAAGTGGATCAGAACAAGAGGGACATATCGGCCTCAATCGTTGGACGTCTTTATGCTTGGGCATAGCGTATGCTTTCCCTAGTTGACATTTGTAGTCCCAACGGACATGCTTATTTATCTTACTGCTAAAGTAGCTCTTTTTGATCTTGTTGACAATCTGTTGCTCTCTATCACGAACCTTCTCGAAGCCATCGTTTCAGAAAAACAAATTGTTTAACCCTTCCAAATACACCAAAGGACAGCAGACGAAAGAATCACCGGGATTATGGTCTATAGCACAAACTACTAACCCTTCGAATCTATCCTTCCACCTTTTAGCCATGCTCTGATCGACATCATGAAAACGATCATGATCCTTCCTGTTAGAAAAACATTCTTCTAAATCGCTATTGGAAAGAGAAAAGGACGTAGTATCATTTTGTATGTTACATAAGGTTTGCCTAATGGATTGGGAAAGGACCGGAATATTAGTACGCAGATTTGGAAACGGAATATTCCTAGAGTTCTTAATAATAAGTGGGACCGAAATAGAAAACAATCTACATGCTATATGGCCATCATTGTTGACGGCTAAGGGGAGGGGGGAAGAAAAAGAAAAAGAAGAGAACGAAGAAGAAGAAGAAGAAGAAGAAGAAGAAGAAGAAGAAGAAGAAGAAGAAGAAGAAGCAGAAGACGGAGTGGATAAAGAAGAAGGAGACGAAAAGGAGGAAGAAGATAAAAAGGAAAAAGAAAGAGATGTAGGGGAACCAGTAGCAGGTAGTGATGTGGCAAAATCTGAGTCAGACAACACCCCAAATTTGGACTGCCACAATTGTTCTCGAGTAAAAAACTCACACGCGCATTCCAGGGTAGTACTCCTAGCTACTTGCCTAAAATTATGAAAAATATCAGCCACACACTTGTTCCTTGGGCACTCTATCTTAAGTCGTCTACAGATAATATCCCGTAACGGTTTCCTGACCTTCGAATTGCGAACGGTCTTTATACAAAGTCTCCTTAGTCTACATTTTGATAACCCAGCATCATACGGAATCTTAATAATCGGTTTGACTCTGACGTTAAAATCGTACTTAGAACGAAGTTCTCGTGCCAGAATGTGCCGCAAAGTATTCCTACTCCTTTTCTTAAAAAATGAGCGCACAACAGAATAGTCCTGCAACAAATCAACAAACTCTCGTTTGTACAGTTCCTTACGTGTAGCGGGGCAAGATAATAACGACACCAACGTCTTTTTCCTTTCAAGGAACTTGGAACAAAAATGTGTCAAACCTCGGATCTCGAACTGGCTACCGGAAACTATCAACCCACGCGCAGACTTCAAAAGACATGTAGCAGATTCAGAAACAACAACCGTGGATCCATATTTACGTTTTATCAACTTCCATTGATCGCAAAGAACTGCACCTCCATTGCAAATTACTTTAAACGAAAAAGTCCTACTGTCAAAAGCACCATCAAGTATTCTTAGCAACGAAAAGGAAGTATCACCAAGGCTAGACTCAAAACTCAGCAGTGTCGATGTATCCTGACAACCAACAACTCTCGAACACGCACCTCTCTGTTTCTTATTACGTTCCTTCTTGCCTAGTCGACATTTCCTATTTGTATTACATCTAGTCCGTCTCGAACAATTGAGAAACGGTGAAAACGAACGAATGAAAAAACGCTCAACATCCAAAAGGTCATGTGCAACTGGATTAGCAATAGGTATCGCTACATAATTCTCGACACCACACCTTCTTAACCATCGGTACAATCGATGACTACGTACGTTCGTGTCCTTACCTTGGTAAACTGCACGTTGCACATGCTCCTTCCAGCGCACATCTACAGATCACAAACTACATCCTATATATGTATGTTTGTGCCAAGGCGAAACCAAAATGTACACGACAGGACCCGGACAACTGCGGAAATCGTAACCGGTGGAAGATAGCACGGAGAGAAACGGAGCAAACTTAGCACACCAAGGAATCGCAGAGGAAAGAATGAGAAGGATTACCAGACAACGAAACAGCTCGTTCAGATTCGGACGACAGAGACCATCTGTGGAACTTCTTAACTTACGGACATCAGAGAGAATCGACCAAACGCGACCGACGCTCGGAACCGAACTCACGAAGATTCAGAACTGGCAGGTGCATCCGTGGAAACTGCTACTACATCCGTGGAAGCTTCTTAATCGGGATCGTCGTCCGCGTCTTCTTCGTGGTCTCTTTAACCCATGAGTCTCCGATTCGTAGGGCAGTCAAACGCCCTTACCGTGTAGATCTCGGCCAGATCATTGGCCGTCTTCTTCACCCCGGCGTAGTCAATCTCTTCTTCTGCACAGAGCTTCTCCACTTGCGCCTTGCGAAGTTTACTCAGATCGTTACTTACCCTTTTGAAGAACTAATCCCGCTCTTCGCCAACCTTACACACAAAGGTAATCTTCACCTGATCCCCGTTCTTCGATTGTGGGCTACTGCCCATCTTGCCGCTTCTGCGTTGAAGCAAAGTCTTCCGCTTCGTGCTCAATGGCGAAGTTATCTTGATTCTGTTGATCCTTTCCTTGAGTGCCGAGACCTCCCGTTCGGCCATATCCTTGTCATCGCGAATCTTCCAATAGGCCTCTATCAGCTTGGCACACTCGAGCGGTGTCTGCGTACCTCCTTCCTGCCGCGATTTACCCTTCGCTGGTTCGATCGGAGGGCTTTTCTCCGTGACTGCCTCGGAACTTCGCTTATTGTTCTGTTTGAGGGTATCCACTTCGTCTTTCAGAGCCAGAAGATCGTGAACGAGAGCCTGGTTATCAGCCTTGATAGAATCCAGCTCTCTGCTTGCCTTCCCCGAAGCTGTTCGTAGCAGATCCTCGTTCTCCCGCCTGAGTTTCTCCAGTTCGTCGTTCCTTTGCTTCTTGAGCTGTTCGCGGGCTGCAGAGTCTTCTCGTCGCCAACGCTCTTCTTGCTGTTTGCGTCGTGCCTCCTCCAGTCTTGCCGCCTCCTGTCGAGCCGTTTGATCGCACCCAATGGTGGTAACCTTGCTGGTGCTGGCCTTTTGTCCGATGACCTCCTCACACACCTCCTTCATGTTCTCTCGTACCATTTTCCCGAGTGCCTGCTCAAACTCTTCTCGTTCACGCTTCGCTTTAGCTCGCTCCTCTTCTGCGGCTTGGATCTTCTTTTTCTCCTCCTCCTCCTTTAACTTCTCCTCCTTGGCGCGCTTCTCTTTCTCCTTCGTCTCCATTTCTTCAGCATACCATCCCCATACTCTATCTAATCAATCGTCTCTCTCCTTATCACGACTGTCTCCCCAGTTGTTTCTCGGTCTCTGCTGATACCCCGCTCTGTAGTAGTTATTACCATAACCTTGCCCGTTGCCATATCCATTGCCTTGTTGGCCACCGTATCCTTGGCCCGCACCTTGATTGTTTTGACGGCCCCCGTCGCCCTGGCCACCATTCGCTGCAGGAGCCCTATAAGGCACAATAGCATTAGGAGCCGGAAGCAGTCCTTCGTTCTCTTGAGGTGCAGGCACCCTCCCTTGATCACCTCCATTGCCGCTTAACAGAGCAGCGGCATTCGGGATTTGCCGAGGCTGGCAATCCCTAATGAAATGACCGGGCTGCCTACAATGGTGGCAGACCCTGTTCCCTCCGTAGTTCATGACGGCGAAGAAGAAGAAAAAATAGACGAACGTGAAAGGGAAAGTTATGGCAGGGGAGCGAAAAGGGAAGGAAAATAACTGGATGCAGCTATGCCGAAGAAAGCATATCACGAACCAGTCAACGCAATCACACAAACGTAGTGTATACCACGACGGTTGTTGCGTGTATCGAAGCACAAAAGTGTTCAAAATGACATCATGCAAAGCATATCAGTCATGCAACGGAAAGGAAGAAGAAGAAGTAGGGGAGAAAAGAGAATACGACGAAGTGATAAAAATCCGAGCGCAGGACGCATCGTTACGGAAAAAAGGAAGAAGAAATACAACGATGCATGGCTGCGCGACCCGACGCCGCGTTTCGACCAGTCGCCAGCTGGTCTTCGTCAGGGGTCAACTCCTGGCTACAGATGAGAAGTAACAGAACCACAATCCTATAAGTACTCTACGTAGACCGCCTATTCGTATCGTACGTTGCATCCAGTCCAGAAGTCCCTAAGTCCTATTCCGACAGAAAAAAGAGAGAAAAAAAAGTACCACAGTCCCACTGAAGAAAAGACCGGAACTGGAACCTTGGTGGGAAATAGACTGAAGGTCCTAGAAGTGAGTATCGGCCCAACAGACGCCAAATAGGCCTAAAACGGCCTTGTCCGCCCTTACCACGCGGTACCTGGCTTTGCAACAGAGGACCCCTGGGCCTTGGAGCCCTTGCCTCACACTAGGTCGACGGAGTCGCGGGACCGCTGTTATGAAAGCAGGTCCCGGCCCGTAAATCTGCTCAGAATCCTTCCAAAAACGGTATTTCTGCCACTTACCCGTATATTTGCCAGCATACCTGAGCTGACAGGTAAAGTTGCTACAATACGTTTGCAAACCAGTATTTCTGCAATTTGCCCATAGAACTGCCATTTCGTCAAAATGGACATTTTTTTCCTTTTTTTTGAACCAGATTGGAACCGAGTATTTTGGTCAAAAACTCGTCCAAATTTGCGGCTTCTGAGGGTACAGCGTTCTGGACCCCTTGGATGTTTGTGGACTTAGCTTGAGAAGAGATACATCCAGGCAGTCCCCCCTGGATGTATCTGGTCTCAGACTAAGTCCACGTACATTCAAGGGGTCTAGAGTTTGAAGAACGTCCAACCCTCAGGAGCAGCAAATTTGGACGAGTTTTCGGCCAAAAAAGTCGGTTTCAATTTTGTTAAAAAAAAAAAAAAAGTCCATTTTGACGAAATGGCAGTTATAGGAAAATGATGACCTCCTTTTTGTACAGGAGAAGTGTGTTGAACGTGCCCTGCAATCCCTCCAACAGATGAGATGAGCTGCATGACCATGCTCTTTCTCCCTAGGTGTGCAGCGGACACCCAAACAAAAAGCACATCTCTTTCGACTATAGTTTGCACTCGTTTCCCAACAGTTGGTTATCAAGACCCCTCCTTCCAGCTTCCGGTTACTTACACAGCTATGAGGATCAAAGGAAGCAGATCTGAAAGGCTTGCACGACTGAGTCACTGACTGAACAGATTCTCGTAAAATCGTTTCCTGTAAACAACCAGTTCATACGAGCCTAAGTTGACTCGCAAACCTGAAGCTGCCCCTTTTCAACGTGGTTAATGCCAAAGCTTTTTCCAGACATTTAGCAAAATATCAACCCGTTTTGACACAAATGAAAGAAGAGAGAAGAGAGAAAAGAGAAGACATGAGAAGAAGGAGACGAGAAGACTATGAATCTCCCCCGCGGCCAAGGCCGAGGCTGCGGCCAAACCGTGCGACTTTCCGGCCGCGTGGCGGCGAGAGCGGGGGGGGACGGGGTTTCTGAAAGTTGATTGGGCTTGCGCAAACCCCGCCCTACCCCCTCAAAAAAAAAATTAAAAAAAAATAAAAATTCAGGGGGGGGATTTCGTGGTGCAAGATGAAAAAAAAGATAAAAAAAAGAGAGAAAACACTATTCGTTAGTTTTCTCGTTTTTTCTTTTTTTCGTTGATTGATTGATTGACTGATTGGTGGGGGAGCCCCCCCCCCCCACCGCTCACACACACACACACACACACATGCCGGAATGTATATTTCGCTGTTCTAGCAGAAGATTCAATTGATTTTGCTCATCCTATCTATGGAAGTTGCGTGAGGGAAGCCGCGGGGTTCGAGACTTACCTGTTGGCCGGTGCGTTGCTCATCCTATC